CTAATATCAGTTAAATGAAGTGAATTTTGGCATTTCCTACCGAATTCAGCCTACAAGTATGTGCTTAAAATTTGATGAAAATCGGTTCAGATATAGCTATAGCTCCCATATATATGTTTCATCCGATTTGGTGTTTAAGTCCCTCATATTCGTAAAATGCATGATACAAGAATAATATTTGGTTCCAAATATCAGATACAGCCAAGAAATCGCTGTTTTCAATTTTATAAAGATCGGTCCAGATTTGGATATAGCTCCCATATATATCATTATCCGATTTTAGGTTTATTATGCACCAAATTGCTAATATTAGCCCAAATGGAGTGATTTTTTGCAATTCAACCGAGTTTAGCATAGAAGCAAGAATTTCAAATTGCTCCCATATATATGTTTCATCCGATGCGGTGTTTAAATCTCCAAATTTCGGAATACACAATCTATCTTAATGACATCTTGTACCAGATATCTAATAGAGCTCAGAAATTGCAATATAAACCCTTCTTTTACGAGAGCTCTACTAAATATACATAGTAGTGTAGGGTGTCGTATAGTCTGTCGCGCCCGACTGCTGAGCTTTCTTTACTAGTTTTTATACCCTCCACCATAGTATGGAGGGTATATTAAGTTTGACATTTCGTTTGTAACACCTCGGAATATATATTTTAGACCCTACAAAGTATATATATTCTTGATCAGCATAAAATTCTATGTCGATTTATCAATGTCCGTCCGTCTGTGGAAATCACTCTAGCTTCTGAACGAAATGAAGTAAGTTCAAAAACTTTTACTCAAATGTGTACTATGTCTGCAGGACTTTTGGTATTAAAAATGGGCCATGTAGGTCCACGTCTTCGTATAGCCCCCATATAACGGTACCCCCCGATATGTGGTATTTTGATAATTTTAGCGACATTATTTACCGGAATGGTTTCAAATTTGGTATTTGAAATTTGCAATAGATACTACACGACAAAATGGAAAATGGGTCATGTAGGTCCACGTCTTCGTATAGCCCCCATGTAACGTTACCTCCCGATATTCGGTATTTTGATGATTTTAGCGACATTATTTACCGGAATTGCTTCAATTTTGGTATTTGAAGTTCGAAATGGATACTACATCCTAAGACAGAAAATGAGCCATGTAGGTTCACGTCTTCGTATAGCCCCCATATAACGGTACCACCCGATAATCGGTATTTTGATAATTTTAGCGACATTATTTATCGGAACTATTTTAAATTTGGTATTTGAAGTTCGTAATGAATACTATAGCCTATGACAGAAAATTGCCTGTGCAGGTCCACGTCTTCGTATAGCCCTCATATAGCGGTACCTCCCGATATTCAAATTTGGTATTTGAAGTTCGTAATGAATACTATAGCCTATGACAGAAAATTGTCAGTGCAGGTCCACGTCTTCGTATAGCCCCCATATAACGGTACCTCCCGATATTCGGTATTTTGATGATTTTAGCGAATTGTTTCAAATTTTGTATTTGAAGTTCGTAATGGATGCTACAGCCAGTTTTTTTTGCAAGTTTCGCATTTGAATATTATAATAGCTTGTGACAAAATTTGCCTATGAAGGTCCTCGTTGTCGTATAGACTCTAATATACGGCTACATTAGGTATTTTCAACATTTTAAAGGAATTTTTAACGGATTTTATTTTTTTGAAAATTAGTAAATTTGTACCAAATGGTGAAGGGTATTAAAAGTTCGGCCCGGCCGAACTTACAGCTCTTTTACTTGTTTTAATAGTTACGTCAGTAAATTACACAACACGTGGAAATTTTTGATAAATTAGCCTTTAGAGACTTCCCCAAATACATTTTCCAACAATCGCGGGAAGTTGGACGCCGTTCGAAACAGGGTTGCCGTATAAATGTAAGCTGTACGAGCTTAGCGTTTACATAGAAATCTGGTGAGTTTTCGAATAAATACTATTATTTTGTTAAATAAATAAAAACAGTAAACTTTTGTTCTACGACTAGTTCTAGTACCCTATACACTAATAAAAATATATTTTTCTTCTGTTAGTGGATTCGATCATCATCATATATTGCATGAACAATCATATATTGCATGAAAGAAAAAATTTTTGCTGTGGACGATTTTCGCTCGGAGCTACTGTATACTCTTTAAATTTGTCACTCAAAATTTAATGTTGTGAGCCCTTGAAATTGAGAATAAACCTTTTCCGTTTCCATAGAGAAACCCACTTGGTTATAAAACTTATTTAATTACGTTCAAAATTTTCCTGTTGTGATCTTTTTATTGCGACTATTTTTTTCTTTCTTGCACTTCATTAAAATATTCGTAAATTGTTATTACGGAAGTGTAAAAAAATCACTGTAGACAAGTGTTTCCGCTTTTCGATAAACCGGCACCATTATGACCTGTTTTACCATACCTGCTCTATACGTAATTGTCTCACACAATCAATACGTGCAACACACTTCTGCTTGATAGCTTTGCTATAAACGTCGCGACGCTGAACAAAAAGTGAAAGTGTCAAATCATCTTTTGAACTTGACTTACAATTCCGTGAGACATGAGTACCCACAATGCAATGTTGTTTACATTAAACAAATGTTTTCTTGTGCTGTCACTGTGAGTCTCTCTGACAGCAAGTCATTGTTACTCTTCTGCATTCGATGTTTGTTTGGTTTGTTTACATCTATCGATCATTTTGCTAGTTTGTTTTACTTCGCTTTGTGTCATTTACGTTTTGTCATCATCATTGGCAAGACTTAAAGGCGCCAACTATTGATTGATCATTCATCGTTTTGATGGTAATAATGAAGTTAGCCACCTGGCTTGAACATATGATCATTTGCACCTAAAAACGATAATGATGATACCATAATAAATACACATACACAAGCTGTTAATCATCCATCCCAAACAATATTTGAGCAGTGTGCGTGGGGAAGTGTTACTGGTTTTGTTTGCATATGATTAGCATCTCTGCGTTTCTTTTATTTTCTTTGGGTGGACCATTTGCTGTTAACCTTGACCCAAATTGATTTGTCTAAAAGCATTTGTTTGTTATTATGGTCGCATCGCATCTTGTTAATGTTTTTGGTTATGGAAAGAAGAGAGTGTTTGAGGGGCCATGGAAATGTACAATTTTTGATATAACCTTGGGTAGTGCGTTGGAAGAGTATTTTTGAAATACCCTACACACCAATATGGTAAGGTAGCGATGAAAATTGGAATATACCCATTTGTTTAAATTAAAGGTAAATTTCGTATTTCGTAATAGATTTTAAAGAAAATTATTCATATAGTTTCTGAAAAATATTATTTTAATCTATCTAGTCATAATAATGAATTTTTAAAGAATGTGATGGTTTTTTTAAAGAACGAGCCATAATCGTTAAGGATAATTTGAGCCGAAATCACCGATTTTTTTAGGAATTGGTCGTAAGGATTTTTTATGAATACTTTTCAAGAGCTATTTAAGTAGTAACCAAAAATTAAAATTGTACGTCAAATTGAAAAAATCGCATGCGATAAAAATATGACTAAAATTGGAAACATTTTACAAAAGAGTAGTAAGATATAGGCCTTAGATTTTTTTTTTATAAATCATAAAGTGAAAAAATTGGAACGACGTAGGGAAAGAACAACAATTTACGCAGGATTTTAAATATGTAGGACTGTTTTAAGACTGGGTTTTTTGGAAACACAAAAGATCCGAAAATGTTATGTTTTATTAATGGTATAAATTGATCCTGAGGAGACAGGTTGAACATGCGGGTTTTTTAAAATATCATATCAAAACGGTATAAAATATATCGAAATATTATCACAGAAGAATGAATGGACCTCATTTTGCACAAATATTGTACATACTAAAACATGTAAGCAAGGGATATGGACGGGACATTTGACAAACTACAACACTACAATTTGCGGTAGACTAGAATGCAGATTTCACTAAAAAAAAACTTCCTCTTTCATTTCAATTTCATTTCAATTCTTGAAATAATGTCATATAGTTCGGCAAAAGTTTTATCATGGCTTTTGACCGAAACCACAAGGGCATGTAAATCGTCATAGCATCTGCCCTTTATTAGTGTCCTATGTTGTGTTAATGGGGTTTTAAAGCAATATTTCAACATTTAAATTCATCTATATAATTTCCTTTTTCTCCGATATTTGGCTATACTCGTCAACGAAATAAGTATCAATGTAAAGTTCAGATTTACACATTACATGTATTTGTGATTTCGAAGGAATTAACAATATCCGCTGTGTAGTACAGCCTAAGACAGAAAATATTATTATATTCGGTATATTGATGATTTTAACGACGTTATTCATCGGAATTGTTTCAAATCTGGTATTTGAAGTTCGTAAGGAATATTACAGCCTCTTACAGAAAATTGTATGTACAGATCCACGTTTGTGCATAGCCCCCATATAATAGTACCTCTCGTCGTATAGCCTAACGGCCACATTTTTTTTTTTTTTTGATTTTAACAGAAATTTTACCTGTTTTTATTTTTTGAAAATTGTCAAATTAGATCCAAATTGTAGTATTTAAAGCTCGACAGTCAGGAGGTACTTTTATATGGAAGCTATACCAAATTGTAGATTGGATGTAGATGGAAATATACCTAATGAAAACCAGAAGTATAAAGCATGGAACATTTTGAGGTATTGTTATATGGGAGTTACTGACCCATCTGACTTGTATAGATTATTTGAAGCAAAATTTTGGCCTATTAACAACCCAATCATTTAATTTTTTCTTGTCAAAATCGGGCCACCTTTCATGGATCTTTTTGAAATTGTTGCTTAATCCCTCAAAGTACAGAAAAATGGGACGATTTGCAATGCCTAGACCCAATAATAACTATTATGCTTTATTTTATTTATTTTAAATATTTAGCTTTATTTTAAATAATGTAGTCTCTATCTTGACCACATATTCCAAGAAAAAAAGCTTTTACATTTCACATGTATATGGGAATTATTTTATTACATATGTCTTTTTTATTCTTGAATTTGTGAGTTATACGCTAATTACATTAATATCTCAATATTTCGTACATCATACTTTAAAACTGTTGGCTAATTATGTATTTAAATTTTATTTACAATAATAAATTGAAAAGAATTTACAAGGTTACTAAATAAATTACAATCTCTTGACAATTGGAATCTCCTAAACAAATTAACAAATGATTTACTTATAAATAACAAATAAATTGCTTATAAAATAAATAATATAAATTAACAGTAAGCATCAAGTACTATACACAATTGAAAAATCACTAATCTTCGATGGTTTTTCGTATCCAATCGGTGTAGTCGGCAACATTTGTATAGACTGCCGGGTGGCCGGTGAGGCCACACTGGGTAAAGCCAAAGCTAACAATGCCATAGGTGACCCAACGCGAATGTTTTCGATCGAAAAACATTAGCGGTCCTCCACTGTCGCCGGCGCAGGTATCTTTGGCATGTTCTCCGCCGGCACACAGTTGTTTGGGGCCCAAGCGTATGCCATACAAATCCAAAACTTTGGTGCAGTTCTCACGTGGCATCAGCGGAATGCGTAACTTGAGTTTTATTGGACTGGGAATATTGACGAAATATTTATTGACTGAAAAGAAGCGAACATTAGACACGTATGTAATTTCCAAATCTCCGTTATCAATTACTCACAGAAGTCTGTTCGGCCCCAGCCAGATACGGAAAACATTTGATCCTTTTCGAATGGACTATCCTCGGTTCTGTTCGGCAAACAAATTGGCATGACAAAATGTGTAAAAGAAACTGGATTTTTGAGCCGTATCACCGCTATATCATCTAGTTTGTTAAACGAGTAGTCCTTGTAGTCTGGATGTACGGTGATTTTTTCCACACTCATGTCCATGGCTGCATCGGCACAACTTAAATAGTTTGGCTCTTCGATGCAATCCGGTTCGGTCCTCACATTGAATTCACCCAGACGCACATATTTTCTGCAATAGCAAAAGCATACAGGAAATTTAGATGAAGTGACTCTTAATATTGGCAATAAACTATACCGCTTACAATCCCTTTTTCTCACGATAGGCCTCACCATTAACGCAATGCGCCGCTGTTAGCACGTGACGATCATCAATTAGCGCTCCACTGCAGCCATATTCATCTGAAATGAGTGATAAAGATGTTTTAGACAATTGTCAGCATAATACAAAAGTTCAAAACAAGTAAATTGAGCGCTTTACGAAGACGTATACTTGCACAGACAATTTTCTGTCATAGACTGTAGTATCGATTACGAACTACAAATAACAAATTTAAAATATTTCCGGTGAAAAATGTCGCCTGAATCACCAAAATACAGAAAATAGGGAGGTACCATTACAGGGGGGCTATAGCAAAACGTGGACCTTCATGATCCATTTTCAATACCAAAAGTCATGCAAATATAATATACATTTGAGTAAAATTTTATCAACCCTCTTCATTTTGTTTGTGATTTCCACAGACGGAGAGACGGACATCGCTAAATCGACATAGAATTTTATGCTGATCAAGAATATATATACTTTGTGGAGTCTAAAATGTATATTTCGAGCTGTTGCAAACGGATTAAAAAATTAATATAGCCTCCATACTATGGTGGAGGGTATAATAAGAATCAGTTCAGATATAGCTCCGATTTATATGCCCGATAGATATAGATATAGATAGATATAGCTCCCAATAGATATAGCTCCGATTTATATGCCCGATTTTAGTGTAAATCCTTTCAAAGTTATAACACGCACAATATATATCGGTGAAATTTGGTACTAGAGTTCACATGCTTCATAAAAATTTTAGTCGAAATCGATGAAGATATATGTTATATATATATGTATAGATATATGTATATAAAGTTTTAAAATATTTTTATCATCGGCCTTCCTTTACTAAAATTAGATAAAATGCTACACTTGAACATATATACTTAAGGATGTCCCTAAGGATTTAGTTTTAGAAATATTTTATAAAAGTCCTTAAGAAAAAACAGTTAACAACGATTAGCTCGGCAGATTCGAAATTTCTATAACCTACACCATGTGAATCCATGATTTTGGCCATAAAACTATATGGCTATCCTTGCAATCCCTAAAATATGAAAACAGGTGCCATTATATGGGAATTGTACCAAAGTGAGGACTTTCATTAAATATGTGTTGAATATGTTGATTTGGATGAAAATCGGGGTCGAAATCTTCAAAATGGCTAACATTCGGATGAACCTATATTTGGGACTTGTATCTAAATCTGAATGTTTATATATTGTTTAGGTTAGGTATGTGAATAGCCAATATTATTCAAAATTCTTAATTAGTTAAAGCGATTAAATTTAGGGGATGCTAGACTTATATCTGCAGGGAAAATAGACTAAATTAGCTGCCTCCCTCTGGTGCTTCTCTCAGATAATGCCAACAAAAACAGAGTATAGCTAACACAGAAGGAATGGATATCCGTAATGTTTGAATTTTAAACAGTAAGTGTTTTCTAAAATTTTAATCTAAATATATAACAGAAAGTGATGTCATTCACACCAATTCGGAAATGTCTTTTGGTTTGGTTGGTTACATTTTGTGATATTTATACCCTACAACACTATATATTGATTTCCACGAAATATTGATTTCCCACATAGGAAAGTATATATTGGTCTTCCTATCTCGCCGAGCTGAGTCGATCTAGCTATGTATGTCCGTCCGTCTGTCCATGTTAATTTGTAATCAAGCTACAGGTCGCAATTATGAACCGATCCTCACGAAATTGAAAATGGAGGTGGGGTTAGGGTCAGAACAGAACCCTATTGTTTTTGAAGAAATGCACCAAAAACAGAAAAATTTCCTGATTTTGCAGTTGGTCTGTAGGCCACAATTATGAACCAATCGACGCGAAAATTAACATGGAGTTAGAGTTTAGGAGTGGGCTGAAACCTACCAATTTCATCGATCATCGGACAATAATTAGCGGGTAAAATAGACCCAAACTTTTATGTAAGAAAATAGGAAATCTCCACCAAAACGCGAATATTTTCAATCCCAGAAAAATAAAAAATACATTAAAATATTACTTCTGACCATTACAGTGATGCTAATAGCCAAGAAATCGGATATATAGAAATCGGATATATGTAAAAGAATTGATCTTATTTATTCTCCTTATACATCAAGAACCGATGGACCGATTTTCACAAATCCCATCAATTCGGAATGGTATCTTGCCACAAAACGATAAAATCCAAGAAAATGGAGGAAAAATATACCAATAAAAAGTGAATATCTTTTGTCGATTTTTTTCAATTTTTGTCATATTTTTTATCCCTTGCGATTCTTTCAATTTGACTTACAATTTTGAATTGTAAATTTTCTAAATTTTTACACCCACCAACACTACGTTTTGAGGGTATTATATGCGTATCGCAATTATCGTCCGATCCTCACGAAATTTTGCATGGGGGTAGGGTTAGGGTCAGAATAAAAGCCATTGTTCTTAAGATGTACATATTGAGGCGCAAATGGACGCGGAATTTCGCATCAGAAGAGAGTTAAGGACAGGGAAGAAGTCTAGCATTTTGGATGACCATTGAATTTTATTTAGCTGTAAAATAGACCATAACTTTCGTGTGAAATTGTTTTGAATACTTAACAACACTACGGAGTGCGTAAATATTGGCCAAATTCTCCGGGTCAAAAAACTAAGGGAAATCTTTGGGCGTGGCTCTTTGACATTTTTTGTTTTTTTTTGGATTGTCATCGGATAATATTTATCGAATTGATAAACCATAAGATTTATATAAAATACGGAAATGTTATTTTAACCGCGAATATTAACCTGCTAAATTTCCGTTGCCGTTACATTGATATTCAAGATATCATATATTTAGCATACCATATACATACATTCTTATATGTTTGGTAGGCCGCATATAACTCAAGAACGGCAGGAAGATTTTGACAATTCTAAATATTCAGAATGTTCTATTGGCAGAAAAAATGAAATATGCGAAAAATGCATCCAAATGTATACCCTACAACACTATGTGTTAGGGGTATTATAAGTTTGATTGAGACAAAAATTATGTAACACCTCGAAATATTGGTTTCCTACATAGGAAAGTATATATGGATATTCCTACATCCATATCCGAGCTGAGTCGATCTAGCTATGTATGTCCGTCCGTCCATCTGTCCATGTTAATTTGTAATCAAGCTACAGGTCGCAATTGGGGCCCAATCTTCATGAAATTTAGAACAGAGGTGGGGTTAGAGCCAGAATAGAAGCCTATTGCTTTTGGAGATGATCGCATACTATTTAAAATAGACCAAAACTTGAAAAATTTCCTGATTTTGCTGTTGCTCTACGTGTCGCAATTATAGACCAATTAACGCGGAAGTTAGCATGGGGCTAGAGCTTAGGGCTGGACAGAAGCCTTCCAATTTTAATGGTCATCGGGTAATATTTAGTGGGTGAAATAGACCATAACATTTGTGTTAAATAAAAGTCAAATTCTCCATTAAACCGCGATCATTTTTAATCCCGGCGAAATCACAAATAGACGAACAGGTTAATTCTGACCGTTACATAGATGCCGACAGTAAATATAGGATATAATATATACAACGGAAGGAGATGTTAGCTAGATTGCTTATATCTCAAGAATGGCTGGATCGATTTTGACACATTTTATCAATTCAGAATGCCCTTTTGGCATAAAAGTATAAAATCTAAAAAAAATCGCATAAAGAGATGACAATAATGATATTTTTATTTTTTCTTAATTTTTATCGCATGCGATTTTTTCAAATTGATAAATTTTAGGAGATTAGAGTTTAGGACAGCGCTGAAGTAAAATTTTTCCTAAACGAAAGTAAAATTTTTCCTCTTTGCGGAAGAGCGAATTTGGTATTTGACGTAGTATATTCCTGTTTCTAGTCGTTCTAGTAAAGTCAAGGATTGACAGTAAAAACTTTGTTAGCAAATGTTTAATTTTGTCTTACGTCAAATATTCTACGATCTTGATCGTTAGCTTTAACAAATTTCTAAATTTTGTAAATTCAATAACGTGATCATGCCTAGTTTTTTTTTTTTTTTTTGATAAAAATGGAAAATGCAATAGTTTTTCTTTCTTTAGCACTAGAGCTACGTGAAATTCTTCGATTCAATTTTTAATAGTCATGACTACATTTCATTTTTTAAAAGAATTTCCTTTAAAACAGATTGTTCATACAATGTTTCATTGGAATTGTTTTCCCAGAATGAGACAAGCCTTTAGCTAAAAAAAACGGCAAGAAGTACACACATGTGCAAATATTTGATTCATTTCAATGGAAATAAATATATATTTCATAAATATTTTTTTTCGATCTTTTTAACTTAACGTGTGATCAAATTCCTGTCGAATAAATTAAATATTATGTTGAACACATTCCTAGAGTCAATGTTTCATATGAAAAACATATTTTGATAGGAAATGCAGACATACAGCTACGCAGAACACACAACAAATTAATTAAAAATTGACAAACAGATTTGAATTTTCACATAATTAACAACTAGACCGTGTTACGCAGCAATAACTGAGTTACTGTATGAGTCCATTGACGCATTAAAAGGTAATGTGAACAAACTAATTTCAAAATTACCATTTGGATTAAAATAATGGGTTATTCCATAAAAAATAAAAAGCAAAATAACTTTCTTTGCGCATTTCCAAGTAATGTGTAACGTCGGCTTAAAATCCAACCGTCCGACTTCAAAACCGAAGGTTGGGATCTGCAAATTTTTAACACCCTTCTTCTTTGGGTAAAGACAATATTTTTATATAAAAGTATCTGAATTCAAACGAGTTCTACTTTAAAGTACAAACACCAGTAATGCTGTTTAATTTTTCAAAAACCCTTAAAGTGGGTGTGGTGTTATATGGGGGCCATACCAAAACGGGAATCTCTATAGACAATTTGGTACTTCAAGGATTGTCATCTACCAAATCTTCTTTAATACTAAATTTGAAACAATTTCATGGGCAAATGTGACTAAGATTGTAAAAATACCGAGTATCGAAGGGTATCGTTATATGTGCGCTATGGGAAAACGTGACCTAAATATTGAATGTTCTGCTAGCGGCGCTAGAACACATTATAAACTGCAAATAACAATTTTTAGACAAATCCGTGGAAAAATGTGTCAAATCATCAAAATACCGAGTATCGGGAAGTACCGTTATATGGGACCTATACATACAATGTTCCGCCACCGGAGCTAGAACCTACTATGATCTACAAATACGAATGTTTAGATAAATCCATGGAAAAATGTTACAAAAATCATGAAAATACCGAATAAAAGGAGGTATATCAACACGGCTATATCAAAACGTTGACAATTTTTTAAGCTCTACGTAAAATAATGTGGGCTTTGGCAGGACTATATGACATGTTCAATATGGAACATGTCATATTGCTGCTCTCTCCCAAAGAAAGGTATTTAACATAGTATCAACCTCTACTTCATCAAATAACACCTATACTTTTTTTGGAGATCCTATGTTTTTGGAAAATATTGGTTCCAGATCTATGGTGGTTATTCGAAAAGAGGAGGAATTTGGCTAAAGACTTGCTTTTATAATATTGAGATGATGGATGTTTCTTAGTGGAATTTTTATAAAATTTAAAAGGGCTTCAGTACTTTAATCCTAATTGTAGTTTTGTAGGGCATCAAATGGTCGACCTCGACAAACTTTTTTGCTTACTTTTTTGTTTATTTGTTTATATGTTTTCTTATTCATGATATGTTAAAACAGTTTTTATACCCTCCACCATACATAGTATTGAGGGTAAATTAAGATCGTCATTCCGTTTGTAACTCATCGAAATAATAATTTTAGACCCAAAGTATATATATTCTTGATCAGCGTAAAATTCAAAGACGATTTAGCCCTGTGCCCTGTAATCACGCTACAGTCAAAACGAACTAAGATAGGAAGCTAAAATTTTGCACAGATCTGTCTTTTGTCTGCAGGCAGGCCTAGTTCGAATATGGTCCACGATATCGTAGAGCCCCCATATAACGGTACCCCCGATATTCGGTATTTTGATGATTTAGCCACATCTTTCAATGGAAATGTCTGAAATTGTACACCAGGAGTTCTTTATGAGCACTTTAACTCCTGATAGAGAATTGTATATATAGGTCCACCATATAACGGTACCTCCTGATATTCGGTATTTTGATGATTCCAGCCATTTGTTCAATGGAATTGTCTGAAATTCTACACAAGGAGTTATTTGTGAGTACTTTACCTCCTAAACAAGAACTGTCTATATAGGTCCACAATATAATATATCCACCATATTACGGTACCCCCGATATTCGGTCTTTTGATGATTTTAGACACATTTTCAATGGAAATGTCTGAAATTGCAAACAAGGAGTTATTTGTGAGTACTTTACCTCCTGAAAGAGAATTGAATTGTCTGAAAATTCTCACAAGAAGTTCGATGTGAGTAATTTATTCCCTAGAAGAGAATTGGCGATATAGGTCTACGATATATTATAGCTATATAAAGGTACCCCACGATATTCGGTATGTTGATGATTTCAGCTAAATTTTTCAATGTTAAAATTCACAAAAGGAGTTCCTTGGTAGTATATTACCTTCTGCAAGAGAATAGACTATATTGGTCCACGATACTATATATATCCCCTATATAACGGTTTCTCCCAATATTCGGTATTTTGATGATTTTTGCAATGTTATTCACCGGAATTGTTTCAAATTTCGTATATAAAGTTCGAAACAGTAACTACAGCCTATGACACAAATTACTTATGCAGGACCACGTCTTCGTATAGCCCCCATATAACGGGTTTCATTTGAGCGATATTTTCCGGTAGAATTTGTTTGAAATTTTTCAAGATTCTTTCAAATGGTGGTGGGTACAAAAAGTTCGGCCCTTTTTTGTTATTTTTTATTAATTAAAAAACGACGAATATGTAATAATTGTGTAGAATTTTTTTTCTTTCGTTAAAATCCAAAACAAGATTGGGAACATTACATATCAAAATTACACTTCTTTAATTATAAACCAGTAAAGAATGTCCTAAAGTCGGGCGGGGCCGATTTTATGATACCCTACACCACTTTGCTAATTTAGTTGAGCTCCACTTAATAATTAAAAGTTTTTTTGGGAGAATTCAATCATACACGCTATGATTATAATTATAATTTAAAATTCAAAGGACTAAATATGCCGAAGCATTTGTATCTTTTAAATTCGGACTTGTATTGCCCATTTGGTGCAAAATTAATTTGAAATCAAATAAAGATATATATGGGATCTATATCCAAATCTGAACCGATATCGATAAAATTTGGCAAAGATATTTCTGAGCTGTATTTGATATATTTCCCTGAATATCGTTGTTACGGAGTGCATATTACGGCTGTGGGTAACAAATAAAACAAATCGGATGAACAATATATATGGGAGCTATAGCTATATCCGAACCGATCTTCACAAAATTTGGCATTCTACCTTCTAGACTCAATTCGGTCGTAAGTGCCAAATTCCATCCCATTTGGACAAATATTAGACGTTTGGTGCACAATAAAAGGTAAATCGGACGAAGTTATATATGGGAGCTATATCTAAATTTTTACCGATCATCTCCAATTTCAATAGGGTTCGTTCTTGGGCCAAACAAATTTTGTTTGCAAAATTTCATCTCAATCGGATAATAAATGCGACTTGCATTTTGTTCACAAGAATACATGGACAGACGGACGGACAGACGGACTGACATGCATAAATCAACTCAGATCATCAAAAGGAACTATGGGTCTATCTCGTTTCCTTTTGCCTGTTACAAACATATGCACAAAGACATAATACCCTGACCTCCTTGTGGTGTAGGGTATAAAAAGGCACTTATATCACTATGGAAAAAAATTCGGTCTGAAACAATACTCCCTTCTTCATTAAGTCATTCACCCAAATCCAAGGACTAAGAAAAATCGATCCGCTCAGTAAACAAGGTTGTCCAACTGAAGTCACCAAATTGACAATATTGACATATAAATCGAACAAACACTCACTTGTATTGTAAACCAATAACGCCAACCATGGAAATTCGTCCAATTCAGCTATTTCACCACCATATATCCGATGTGTCACCTGTTTGCCACATTCATTCCATAAATTAAATCCTTCGACTGGTTCCACCGTCTGTATGCGTCGTTTAAGTTTCTTCTTTTTAAAACGCGCCGTGGCATCCTGGAAACGACGATATTCGAATTTTGTAAACCGCAAACTAGGATAACGATAATCCTGCCCGTTGGCTGTACAGCAAACTAACGGCTCTAAGTTTTCGCGACTCTCATCGAACGATATATTGCTGACACACTGTACTTTTTTCAGGAAATTCACTTTTTCCGCGGGTAAATTTGTTGAGTTTCGAACTTGTAAATAGGCTGTGCATTGACTGACTTTTAAACACACACCCGGTTTATCTTCATTCGGTATTTCGCAAGATATTGGACCCGGATGGTCTTCATCGTCTTCTTCGCCGGTGTTGCCGAGAGACGACACTGCGGAGGCTGAACTTGTATAGACAACACGTGATGCCGGGGACATTAGATCATCCTCATAATCGGAGATCGCGGGTGTTATGTATTTACCGCCACACTGGCAATTTGCAACTAAATTCACTAAAATCAACAGCAGTATTGCCAAATTGCGACACTTAAGGAACATGACGTCTGCTAATCGCGCACGCACTGTGTCCGATCGGAAACAGAGAGGGGAAATGCAGCCGCAGAATTACCGTTAAACAATCGAACGAACAAACAAATAAACGATCGTTTATGGTTGAATTGCAATTGACACAAATAATTTAAACACTTGTGATTAAGTTTATGTTTTTTTTTATTGTCGTCTGCTTGCCGTCGGTACGTCTGTCCGCCTGCTGCATTCACAAACGAAAATGAAAACGAAGACGAAATTAAAATTCACTTCACCGTCGAGACAACATAACGCGACAACGTACCGTTTGACTATGACGATCGCGAGCCATACGAAACAACTGAGCCAACAGCTGTTGTTAATCCCACACGAGGTCGGTCGGTCGGTCGGTGGTTTAAGCCATGTCAAAAACAAATGCAAACAAATACTTACTCAGCGGCATGAATACGAACAGTGCTCAAGTTGAACCTTCGGTGTTTGGTTTAAAAACAAATCAATGAACAGTGGTGGATTTTTATACCCTCCGCCATACTATGGAGGGTATATAAACTTTGTCATGCCGTTTGTAATTCCTCGAAATACTCATGTCAAACCCAAAAAAGTATATATACAGGGTTGCCCATATTCGACGGACCCCGGAAACAAATTCTTCAGAAAATCGATTGTTATGCGACTTGTGTACGGTGGAGCGCCGTCTTGTTGAAATCAGAGCTACCTCATACGCTTTCGACGAATAATTGGCATCACAAAATTGGTCATTATGTCGCGATAACGCTCCTGATTGATGGGAACAGCATGGCCATTTTCATTTTGGAAGAAAAACGGCCCAATGACCGTTTTCGCACTAACGCTGCACCAAACTGTGACTTTTTCGTCATGAAGAGGCACTTCTTGAATCTCCAGTGGCGTAAAAACGGCAATTTTGCTTATTTACGGTCCCATTCAATGTGAAATGGGCTTCATCGGACATGATAATTTTGTTCCAAAATTGCTCGTCATCTTCGGCCATTTCGATGACGCTCGCGTGGCGTGTATTGGTTCATGGTAAAAATCTGCTTGGACTGACGCTTCAAACGCGGTATGTCATTAAGCGATGTGACATCTCTGTCAAAACTTATGGCGTTGCCAGATGGGTCCGTCGAATATGGGCAACCCTGTATTCTTGATTAGCGTAAACTTCTAAGTCGATTTAGCGATGTCCGTCTATCTGTATTGTTGTAATCACGCTATCTTTGGAACGAATTGAGATAGAAGGACAACATTTTGCACACATGTGTATTTTGGCCAGTAGGCAGGTTAAGCTCGTAAAAGGGCTGTGTGGGTCCTCGTTTTCGTATAGCCCCCATGTAACGGTACCTTCCACAATTGCGTATGCAGATCCTCGTCTTCGTATATCTCCTAATAACGGTTTTCATATAGCCGATATTTTCCGACGATTTTATTTTTTAATTTTTGAAGTTCCTCCCAAATGATGGATGGTATTAAAAGTTCGGACCGGCCGCACTTACAGGGTGTTATTCGTAAAGAAATTCAAGCGTGATAGTGTGATTTCTTTATATTTGGAAAACCACAAGTGGCTATCGTTAGAACATTCCAACATTTAAATGTGAATAAATATTTTGTGTCTCGTACCATCGCTCGTTACCGTGATACTTGTGGCGTAGATCGACGTCAAGGAGGTGGACCGAAGAAAACAGCAACATCAGCAGAAATGGTTCGAAAAGTAAAAAGACTTGATCGAAACCCGCGAGGCAGTGGCCAAAAAATGGCTTGTGAGCTTAACATATCGCAATATTCCATTCAGCAAATACTGAAAAAATGAGCTCGAGGTAAATCCATTGAAATTCCAAAAAGTGCAGGAACTTACACCGCAACAAAAAGAAAATAGACTCAAAAGAGCTGAAGAGTTACTTCGCTTGGCCGAAAGTGATGAACTGCCGAATTTGATTTTCTCCGATAAGAAAACATTCGTTGTCCAGCAGTTTGTAAACAAACAAAATGGTCGTGTTTACTTGCCAAAGAGGACAGCTTATAATGTGCACTTTCGGTTGGCCACCAGAACTCAAGCGCCGGCCATGGTGATGGTGTGGGCCGCCATAACAGCCGATGGTCGCTCTCCGCTCGTATTAATCGATCGTGGCATCAGAATAAATGCCAAATATCATGGCGAACATATTCTTGAGGGTGTATTAAAGCCTTGGGCACTCAAACATTTTGTCCGCAGACCTTGGACATTCCAACAGGACTCAGCACCATCATTTCCAGCGCACAATGGCCACCAAAATCTCCGGATACCAATCAGTTGGAATATTGTGTCTAGAGTATTTTGTAAAGCAAGGTCGGCACTAAAAAATACCAAAGTGTCGATCACCTCAAGCAAGTGCTTCGCGAATGGGCCAAAATATCGCAGAGCAACATTCGGGCAGCGTGTAACGGGTTCATTAGCCGTTGAAGGCCATAATTCGTGCCAAAGGTGACCAATTCGAATAAATCTATTCTTAATCTAAAATTTGATGCTATTTGCGATATATTTTGCTTCCAATCAATAAAATTTAAAAAACTGTAAAAATTTTGGCGTTGACTTTGTTGCAGTTTTTTATTTCACCCTGCATAAATATTTTGAAATTTTCAACATTTGTGGTACTCGATCCAAATGTAACGTCATATCCTGTTTAGTCGAAATTGGGTAGTCCCTTCCAAAGCTATTGTGTGCAATAATATGCCAGACAGAGGAGCTGAAATAGATATCACCCAAAGGGACACATGATTTAAAACTATTATTTAAATGCGGCATATTTTAGTTCAATTAAATAATATATACTCTCTATAGTCGTAAGACTGGAAGTACAAAAGCCGCCCATTGTACATTTCATATGTGTGGGTACCCACAATGTCTGCACCGATAGTTAGGTGCCATAAATGAAACACCTCAACACAAATTATGTGACAGACATTTAAACGACGCCAACAAAAACAAAAGCACCAGTAAAGACAGCTCTTTTGCCTATATGCCAATTCAAGATCACCTTGCCATCTCGGTTGATTAGCAGACAGAAAAGAAGCAAACCAAACGAAAAACAATAACAATATAAGACCGAAACGAATAAAAAAGCAAAACAAAAATCGAAAATTAAATATGTTTTTATTATGACGTTATACCAATCTACTTCGCCACCACACCTCTCGCCCATAACGCCAAACTCGATTTCGATTTGAAGTGTTAAAAAAACCATCACGGAAAAGTACACATGAATTATCAACGAAGTGTTGTTGATTGTATTAACCAGATACGTGTTACACACAGCCGGCTTTAATGGTGGCTTAAAACAGCCGGTCATTTACATTGTGTGTTGGTAGTTGGCTGGCAGGCAGGCAGCATGCAATTGCTAACAACTCCAATGCCAGCTTGTTCGTACGTCTGTTATGCAATACGAGCGAGCTTGTCCGCATGCATACACCACAAGGAACTGACAAAGACGAATGCAGCAATGCAGACACGATACGAGCGCGAATGATTCATCGATCATTCGTTGCGATCGGTATGGTGATTTCACTTTCGTTTGACCCAGAAAACGCGAACGGAGATTGGAATTGTGGCATATTTTTAGGAGGTTTGATGTGATTTGTTTTATAGGCAGTGGAGCGAAAGAAATATGGCAACTTCGTCGTTTTAAGGTATGTGTATTTTAAAAGTATACGAAGATTGTTTTAAAAGTCTGGTAGTATCTGATTAGTGAGATATTTATGAATCAAACTAATTAATATAATTTTATCAATACCATTATTTATTTGTATTAAAAACATCGAAAACTGATTTGTTATACCCTCCACCATACATAGTATGGAGGGTATATTAAGTTCGTCATTCCGTTTGTAACTAATCGAAATAATATTCGGTATTTTTATACCCTACACCACAAGGTGGTCAGGGTATTATATCTTTGTGCATTTGTTTGTAACAGGCAAAAGGAAACGAGATAGACCCATAGTTCCTTTTGATGATCTGCATAGAATCACTTTCTGAGTTGATTTATGCATGTCAGTCCGTCTGTCCGTCCGTCCGTCTGTCCATGTATTCTTGTGAACAAAATGCAGGTCGCGTTTATTATCTGATTGAGATGAAATTTTGCAAACAACATTTGTTTGGCCCAAGGACGAACCCTGTTGAAATTGGAGATAATCGCTAAAAATTTAGATATAGTTCCCATATATATCTTCGTCCGATTTGCTTTTATTGTGCACCAAATGTGTAATATCAGCCCGAATAGTATGGTATTTTGCACATACAACCAAATTAGGCCTGAAAATAAGTATGCCAAATTTTATCGAAATCGGTTCAGATATAGCTATAGCTCCCATATATATTGTTCATCCGATTTGTTATTTTTGTCCTCCGCAGCCGTAATATGCACTCTTTAACAACAATATTTGGGAAAATATATCAAATACAGCTCAGAAATACCTTTGCTAAATTTTATCGAGATCGGTTCAGATTGGGATATAGCTCCCATATATAACTTCGTCCGATTTACCATTTATTGTGCACCAAACGTCTAATATTTGTCCAAATGGGATGGAATTTGGCACATACGACCGAATTTAGTCTAGAAGGTAGTATGCCAAATTTGGTGAAGATCGGTTCAGATATAGTTATAGCTCCCATATATATTATTCATCCGATTTATTGTATTTGTAACCCACAGCCGTAATATGCACTCCGTAACAACGATATTCAGGGAAATATATCAAATAGAGCTCAGAAATATCGTTGCCAAATTTTATCGAGATCGGTTCAGATTTGGATATAGCTCCCATATATATTTTTATCCGATTTCAAATTAATTTCGCACCAAATGGGCAATACAAGTCCGAATTTAAAAGATACAAATGCTTCGGCATATTTAGTCCTTTGAATTTTAAATTATAATTATATTCATAGCGTGTATGATTGAATTCTCCCATAAAAATTTTTAATTATTAAGTGGAGCTCAACTAAATTAGCAAAGGTGTGTAGGGTATCATAAAATCGGCCCGCCCGACTTAAGGACTTTCTTTACTGGTTTAAAATTTTAATTGAATTTTTAATGGATTTTTTTTTTGAAAATTTCCTAATTTTTTCCTAATGGTGAAGGGTATTCAAAGTTCGGCCCGGCTGAACTTACTGCTGTGTTACTTGTTTATGCCAAAGATGCAAATAAGGAATTGTTATACCCTCCACCACATCGAAATATTCCTTAGGTTACACACTTCCAAGATAAGTGGCTGTATCGGCCCACAATTTGGTATAGTCCCTCAAAATTTTTTTCAGTATTTCGAACGTTTTTTTTTTAACCGTTTCCAACCAAATCATCCTAAATTTTATACTTCTAATTAGGTTGTATAAATTATCCCCAAAGCAATCAATGTAGTTCCACTTTTTGCTATAGCCCACAGATAACGGTACCTCTTAACTTTGATGTTTCAAAGATTTTGATTTCATAAAAACCTGATAAATTTCACAGTGAATAGTTCCACGTCTCGCAAATAGTGGTCAATCCAGGTGCACTTTTTGGTATGGTCCCCATATAACAATATAACCTGATTTTGGTATTTTGACCATTTCGGCCCCGATTTCCAACAAGTCGGGGATTTCCATTCCCGGTATAAAATAGCATATTTGTTACTAGACAACACCAGGAACTTTACTGACTGTCCATCATTTCTCTCGGCATTAGCACAATCTTGATGTCATAACTCCTGAACCATGGTTTAACGATTACCAATGTCAAGCGATCTGCGCTTCTTCATATTTTCGGGTAGCAGAAAGAACACAGACACACACACAGTGGTTAGGGGAAATGATTAAATGTTGAGGAATTTAAGGCCAAATCCATATGGCTAGAGAGCCAGGTTAATCTCTTCTGGCTCGAAGAGATTAACCGATTTGGTCCAAACTTGCTACATCGTAAAACTATTGTCAAACTTGGATAAAGTTCGGAGATGGAAAACATCGGTCCACACCTTCAGGTACCTCCCCCATAAGAGGTCAACATTTTCCAAGAAAATATATTACCGCATAGAAAGAGAAAGGATTATTCGATTTTGTGCAAACTTTAAAAATCCCAATATTTACACCAGTAATAGGTTAGGTGCGAAAATGTGTAATATCGGCCCACCCCAAAAAGTACATCGTCCACAAAGGGTCCACATTTGGAATAATCATAATTTTTTTAAATTGTGAAAAAAGAGTCTTCCAATTTCACGCATTCCAATATAATTATTAATACAAGAGTTGGTGTAAAATTATTGATCAAATATTTATGGTTCACTCCACAAAGGGTTAACATTTAGATTAATTTCGACTCTCATAAAATGTCAATTAAGCATACACTTTTCCTAAAATTTTGCACACCCCAATATTTTTAACACAAGATCTGCTGTGAAGATGGGATATGTCGATCTACTCCTACTGGTATCTCCCCCACAATGGGTGAACATTTTGAATAGCCATGCTGCTTATAAAATGTGCATCCGATTCCTATCTAACTCGTCACACCCCAATATTCTTACTAATACCAACCTTGGTGTGAAGATTGTAGATATCGGTCCACTCCTTCTGGTACCTCCCCTTAAACGATTATGAAATGCGAATTGAACATCCAATTCTCAGCAAATTTCACACATTCCAATATTTCCATCTGGTGTTAAGATGAAATATATAGCGCTTTACACCTTCTGGTACCTTCCCCACAGTGGGTTAATATTTCTGTTAACCATAGGTCTAATTAATATTTCGGTCCTTCTGTTCTGTTTTAACTTTTGACCCTCAATTATTCCAACAGAATTGTAAATAAGTGCTCGATTTTCTTTAAACTTTGCACATCCCAAAATTTGTATCAGTATTAGATGAAGTGGAATACATCGGTCCGTTGTATATCGTGCATGATTATCGCATATCTCATTAAAAGTACCAGGCCAAGTCTGGTACTGCTAATACTTATATTAGACTGGTCGGATATGAAATGGACAATATTGGCCAACCCTGTCGGAACTTCACCCATAAAGGGTCAAAAGCATGAATAATCGTAATGAAAGTTAATATACAGGGTGAGATGAAAAAACTGCAACCAAATTCAGACTGCTGTCATTTCTAAGCCACTTGTCCGACAGCTGTTAAAATTATTCCAGTGACAGCTCTTTATATTGTTTACAAGCGTACAAAAGCATTATGGTGAGAATTTTCCAGAAAAAAAGTTATTCGTGATGGAATTCAAGCGTGATATTGTGATTTCTTTATATTTGGAAAACCACACGTGGCTATCATTAGAGCACTCCAGAATTTATATGTGAATAAATCTTTTGTGTCTCGTACCGTCGCTCGTTACCGTGATACTGGTAGCGTAGCCTGACGTCAAGGAAGTGGACGGTAGAAAACAGCAACATCAGCAAAAATGGTTCGAAAAGTAAAGAAGCGGCATAACACAAACAACAAATTCTTGAATAGATTTCACTAATAGTGAAATTTCCGTAGAAGTTTAAATATTGCGTCAAAATGATTCTGTCTAAAAGTCCTGCCCTTTTCCTTCGTAAAGCTCACATAACCTTAAAAACTTAATAATTTAAGTTTAAGTTAAGTTTTTATTTTCAAAATGTCTCTTTTTTACAAAAATATATTTTATTTAAAAAAAATGTATATAATTAAAATAATATCTTGCTTACATCTAAATGAATGGACATCTACTAGAGTATGACATGTGTATGCTAATGCAACAATTTAAACTAACCTACAACTAATCTAAATACTCTAAATATCAGTTCAATATTAGTTGTGTAATATTCTGAGTCTAGGGTGAGATATTAATTTAACGGTTTCCTTATAACCCACAAAATTATCTTGAGCTGAGTTTCATTCAAAATAACACACAACCATTAAAACCTAATGTTAAGGAGAAAAAATCACATGAGTTTACTTTCTTAGTTTCTTTTTAATCCAATCGGTGTAGAGGGCCACACGAACATATACTCCAGGCCAGTCTTGCAGGCCACACCGACGTCCAAAGGAGACAATACCCTCTAGGACCCAAGCACCATTACGATAATGCATCAATGGTGCTCCCGAATCACCACGACAGCTATCTTGGAATGCTACTGAACCACCGGCACAAAGATGTGTTGGTTCGATACTCAGACCAAATTTCCCATATTGTTGACGGCAGAACTTCTGATCTGCCAAAGATACTGCAACCTTCTGTTTTATGGGACTGCTGCTTTTAGTTTCGGTGGCACCCCAACCAGCCACTGTTAGTTTGGTATCAGTCTTCAGACTATATGCTGGCATAACGGAGGGCAAGCATATCGGCCGTATGGTTTGTGAGTAACGCACATTGCTACTCAAACGTAGGAGGGCAACATCATGTACCGGAGTCTTTTGTTGGCGATAGTTTTCGTGAATGATTTTCTTCTCGATACGCCAGCTGCGATTGTCTTCACCAAAGATGGAGTTCTTAGTATAGTCTAGTACTCCCAAACGAACGCCGATTCTGAGGGGAAGGGAAGTAGTTAAGAGCTTATTTGGTGTTTGATTACATTTGCATTCGCATACTTACAATTCTCCTTTTTGAAGCAATATTGGTCCTGTGACACAATGGGCAGCTGTGATCACATAACGTGATGTTATCAATGAGCCAGCGCACACAGATTCTTTGAAGGGATCTAAAAAATATATTTAATGGACAAATCAATAAAGGAATTAAATAAAGGTTCATGCTGTCCATTTAAATACAGGGTGAGATGAAGAAACTGCAACTAACTTCACACTGCTACAACAAACTTCAAACGCTACAAGCTTACAAAAGTATTTTTGTGAGAATTTTCCAGAAAAAAAGTAATTCGTGATGGAATTCAAGCGTGATAGTGTGATATTTTTATATTTGGCTGGAAAACCACAAGTGGCCATCGTTAGAGGACTCCAGTAATTTAATGTGAATAAATCTTTTGTGTCTCGTACCATCACTCGTTACCATGATACTGGTAGCGTAGCCCGACGTCAAGGAAATGGACGGAAGAAAACAGCAACATCAGCAGAAATGGTTTGAAAAGTAAAGAAGCGACTTGATCGAAACCAGCTTCGCGGTGGCCGAAAAATGGGTCGTGAGCTGAAAATATCGCAACATTCCATTCAGTAAATGTTGAAAAATGAGCTCGGGTAAAGCCATTGAAATTCCAAAAAGTGCAAAAACTTACACCGCAACAGAAAGAAAATAGACTCCAAAGAGCTAAAGGGTTGCTTCGCTTGGCTGAAAGTGGTGAATTGCCGAATTTGGTTTTCTCCGATGAGAAAACATTCGTTGTCCAGCAGTTTGTAAACAAAGAATATGATCGTGTTTACTTGCGAAAGAGGTCAGCTAAAAATGTGAACCTTCGGTTGGCCACCAGAACTCAAGCACCGGCCATGGTAATGGTGTGGGCCGCCATAACATCCGATGGTCGCTCTCCGCTCGTATTAATCGAATAAATGCCGAATATTATCGTGAAAATATTCTGGAGGGTGTATTAAAGCCATAGGCTCGCAAACATTTTCGCCGCAGACCTTGGACAATCCAACAGGACTCAGCGCGCGACCCCCAAGAATGGTTTCAAAATGAGGTTCCTCGATTCGTTTCCAGCGCACAATGGCCACCAAAATCTCCGGATACTAATCCGTTGGACTATTGTGTCTGGAGTATTTTGGAAAGCAGGGTTGGCACTAAAAAATACCAAAGTGTCGATCACCTCAAGCAAGCGCTTCGCTTGCTTCACCTCAAGCCAAAATACGGCAGAGCAACATTCGGGCAGCGTATGACGGTTTCATTGGCCGTTTGAAGGCCAGAGTTCATGCCAAAGGTGACCAATTCGAACAAATCTAAACTTAATCTAAAATTTGATGCTATTTCCGACATTTTAGGCTTTCATTCAATAAAATTAAAAAAACAAGTAAGCAAAGGCTATAGTCGTGCGAGGCCGACTATGTTATACCCTACAACACTACAATATGTTAGAAGCCCCCTTATGTTCAAATCCATATTGGAAGATTTCGCTTTTGAAATTAGGATTTTGACTAGGGACATTTGCCCAATATTTATGCGCTCCGTCGGGCTGTTAGTTGTAGTGGTCCATTTTACAGCTAAATATAATCCAATGGTCATCCAAAATGCTAGAATTCTTCCCTGTCCTTAACACTCTTCAAAGGCGTGTCGATTGGCTTCAATTGTGTGATCGGGAAAACATTTCTGTTTTTGGTTAATTTGAACCCCTAAATATTTTGCGATCATCTCCAAAAGCAAGAATCCCCTCTGTATCTCCAAATTTAGACTCATCTATATGATTTGCTTGTCTACGATATTTGGCTACATTCGTCAACGAAATCAGCATAAAAAAGCCAGAAGTTCGCCTTTGGTGTATTTCGGATATCGCCTGTAAATAATGCTGGTATTTTTTCAGACAAAATTAGAGGTCCGTTGTACCCGCTGTCCTAAACTCTAACTTTATGGGAAATTTCGCGTCCTTTGGTTTATATTTGTGACCTTTATAACGGCTGCAAAATGAGAAAAATTTTTAGTTGTTGGTCCATTTAAACCCTAGCTCTTCTGAGCCCAACCCTACCCTTTTGAAAAATTTCGTGAGGATCGGACGATATCTGCCATCTGTATATATTGTGTGTTTTAAAGTGAAAAAATATTACAAAATGTCACAAAATACTACAAAATCTATATTAACATCATTATTAGCACTTGTGATTTTTTTAGATTTTATTTCAACCCCTAAATATTATGCGATCATCTCCAAAAGAAATAGGGTTCTATTCTGACCCTAGGACCACCTCCATTCTAAATTTCGTGAAGATCGGATCATTATTGCGAACTGTAGAGTGATTACAAATTAACATGGACAGACGGACGGACGGACATACATAGCTAGATCGACTCAGCTCGGCGAGATAGGAAGATCCATATATACTTTCCTAGGTGGTAAACCAATATTTCGAGATGTTACATAATTGTTGGCCCAAAATTTACACATAGTGTTGTAGACTATAAAAATGAAATAATAGCTTTTGACTTTTTCAGTTTTTTTTAATCTCAATCTATAACTAAATCAAGGTATCATATGCATACATACCTGTATTTGAATACTCCAAAAATGCCATCCATGGAAATTCATAGGCATTAGCATCATTCCCACCATAGATACGATTATCAATAAACTCTCCGCCACAGGTTGGTGGTTCAGGCAATAATGAGTCCGTTGCCACCGTCACTGGAAGCAGTCTTAGATTTTCCGTTGTGGGATTATAACCATAATAATCATTTGGAAAAATCTATAAAAAAAAACAAAATTCCATAACTACATCCAATTGAAACTTCTTCAAATCATAGTCCTTACACTCTCCACAACTGCCGTCTTCGGTGACAATTCAAAGCCTGTATCGCTGGAGCAGCAGACATAAGGGGTTTTTCCAAAACCGCCACCACATGCTGAAGCCTCTACGAATTCTCGATCACTGTTCATAAGTACCTGGCAATTGTGGATGGCAACACAGGTGCCAATGCGTCCATTGGGATTTTCACAGCGACGGTTGTTGGAGACAGCTGGAAAAACAGAAAATGAAGAAGATGATAGAGAAAAGTTGTTGGTATAAATGCAATTATTGAAAATGTTGATGTTTGACTTTTGGAATTTTGGTTTTGGAAAATCCACTGTGTTTTGTTCATACTTGTATCTAGTAGCTATTAATTTTGATAGATTGGAAGCCAGACAAGCTTATCGCTTGTGGTTTTCTGATTCCTTTTGTTTTGGTCATCTTCATTTTCAAAACTGGTTTAAAACATCTTTTGTTTTTTGGTTTTATTTTTTTTCTGTTCTGTTCTGTTTACCACGGCAAATTTTTGAGGTTTTTGATTTAATTAAGAATTGTTCGATAGTATAATTTTTTCGATTTATGTTATTCCTTTGCGGTTTCCGCTACAATTTATTTTATGAGTTAAATTCTTTATTGATTTGTTTCTAATTTTTTTTTAATGAATGGTAGATTGCCCTTAACCTCGGCATATTGGCATAGAAGTAATTAATTAATAGTGTCTGTTAGCACCATTAAAGCAACCGATCACAAAATTGTATTCCTAACAAACACAATATGTCTGACTGATTGATATTATACCCTACACCAACCTGTGTTAGACCCGAATTTAATTTTAATAATGAGTATGATATAAATATATTTATATTAATTTGCAAATCCTTGAATTCGAACAGGGTAATCCCAATGGGAGTTCTTCAGAGAAACTGTGATCTTCCAATAAACATTTTTCTACAAAAGAAAATATAACCATACAGTATTCAAATTTTATGGATTATCATGTGCCTTCCTTTTCACTTAAAACTTCAGATCATTAAGCTCGTTTAAAAAGACAAACAATCAATATTATTGCTCCAGTGCTAAACTATATTCTATTTCATGAAATACATAACAAATAATTATTCAAAATGTTGACACTTTGTGGGCTAGTTAAGGCAAGGAGTAGGCCGAGATAACACATTTTCGCATTGATAAAAATATTGGGATTTGCAAAGCTTGTACAAAAAACCGCCGATTCTTTCTTGTTCCATATGGTGCATTATTTTCTGTAAAAAATTTGAACTTTAGTCGGAGAGGTAACAGAAGTAGTGGACCGATAATACCCATCTCCGAACTCGATATATTCCATCTTCACAGGAGATCTTGTCTTAGCAGAATTAATGGAATGAGTGAAATTTGAACCGGTACTTATCTCTCCCAGAAAAATGGCTCATGAGCTAAACATATCGCTATATTCCATTCGACAGATATTAAACAAGTAAAAAAGCTGTAAGTTCGGCCGGTCCGAACTTTGAATACCCTCAACCATTTGGAACGAATTTAGGATTTCTCAAAAACAATAAACTCGGTTAAAAATTCTGTTAAACTCTTAAAAATACCGAATGTAGCTGTTACATTAGGGTCTATAAGGCGACATGGACCTGCATAGTTTACTTTTCTCATAAGCCATTACAATATTCAAATGCGAAACTTAAAAAAAATCGGTGAATAATGTAGCTAAAATCATCAAAATACCGAATATCGGAAGGTACCGTATTAGAGGGTTCAACGACGACGTGGACCTGCACAGACAATTTTCTGTCTTAGGCTGTAGCATCCATTTCGAACTTTAAATAACAAATTTGAAACAATTCCGATGAATATTGTCGCAAAAATCATCAAAATACCGAATATCGGGAGGTACCGTTATATGGGGGCTATACGAATACGTGGACCAGCACAGACATTTTTCAGTCTTAGGCTGTAGTAACTATTATGAACTTTAAATATCAAATTTGAAATGATTCCGGTGAATAGTATCGCTAAAATCATTAAAATACCGAATATCGGGAGGTACCGTTATATGGGGGGCTATACCAAAACATGGACCTACATGGCCCATTTTCAATACCAAAAGTCCTGCAGGCATAATATACATTTGAGAAAAATTATATCAATCTATTTCAATTCGCTCGGAAGCTAGAGTGAATTCCACAGACGGATAGACGGACGGACATCGCTAAATCGACAGAGAATTTTATGCTGATCAAGAATATATGTACTTAAATCTATATTTCGAGGTGTTACAAACGGAATGACAAACTTAATGTACCCTCCATACTATGGTGGAGGGTATAAAAATAAGCTCGGTTTAAAGTCATTGAAATTCCAAAAAGTGCAAGAACTTACACCGCATCAGAAGAAAAATAGACTCAAAAGAGCTAAAATATTGCTTCGCTTGGCCGAAACCGATGGTCGCTCTCCGCTCGTATATTATCGCGGAAATATTCTGGATGGTGTATTAAAACCTTGGGTACGCAAACATTTTGGCCGCAGACCTTGGACATTCCAACTGGACTCATGGTGTTGCACTCAGCACGCGCCACCTAAGAATGGTTACAAAATGATGTTCTTGGCTTCATTTCCAGGCACAGTATCCACCAAAATCTCCGGATACCAATCCGTTGGACTATTGTGTCTGGGGTATTTTGGAAAGCAAGGTTGGCACTAAACAATACCAAAGTGTCGAACACCTGAAGCAAGCGCTTCGACGGGAATGGGCCAAAATATCGCAGACAATATTCGGGCAGCGTGTGACGGTTTCATTGGCCGTTTGAAGGCCATAATTCGTGTCAAAGGTGATCAATTCGAACAAATCTTAACTTATTCTAAAATTTGATGCTATTTCCAACATTTTTTGCTTTTATTCTATAAAATTAAAAAAAACATGTGGTTTTTTTATCTCACCCTGTATGAATGAATTTCGAGGTGCTATAAACGTTTAATATAACCTCTATAGCAAGTTGGATGATCTAAAAATAGAATACACATGTATCGGCGTTTTGGAAGTTTAAATCGTTTACATTTTCAGACTAATGTTCCTTAAAATCCGTTAATTTTAGGAATACAAAATCTGTGACAATATTATTAATAACCTCCAACGAGTCACAAAAGGAGTTTTTCCTCCCTATTTAAAATATTTTACACGGAATCGTGGCAAGTCATAATATTCTACAAAATGGTTTGTAGTACAATTTTACAATAGGTCCTACCAGTCTAAATCCTTCATAAACACCAAAATTTCATTATATTAAAGATACATTTTAGGGTTAAAGCCGTACTTTGTGTGAGATTGTGCAAAAATCTCCAACAAAGCATCATTCGAGAAGGATGACGTCAGAGAAAAAAATATCCTTCGTCAAATTTCACTATAAGTTATTAAACATATATGTTGATGGTATATCAAAAGGTGCCAAAAGAAGAAATATTTTACACTAAATGTCATTATAAATAGGTACAAATGCTTTTATGAAAATCACATTTAAAATGTATGTACTAAAGTAGTAAGTAGTAAAGTACAAAAGGTTTTTACTACTAGTTTAACATGTTTCCATTCTGAGCCAATATCTCTCTTAGCGCTTATTTTATTTATTTATTTATTTTTTTTTTTTGGAAAAAGGATAAAGTATTCTATATCAAATTTCATTATGAGTCGTTGAACCAAAGAAATGTATAAACTTAACATGTACTATAAAACCATCAACCATTATGGTCATAAAAACCATATTTTATTTTCGGCAAATTAAGCGTTTTTTTGTTTTCAAATAATCTTGTTATACAGTATTAAATATACCCTCCATCTGGTGGCGGGAAGTAGTAAATCGTCGGCATAATATACAACAGCAATTCCACTTGTCTGCATTTGCGCAAATCTACAAAGTAACCCACCTCTTATTTCTATGCAGAAAGTTGTTAATTATTTTAGCTGTCTTACCGCATACTTAAAATCGAGCATACATTTTTTGCATTCTCAATGTCATTCGGAACCGGTTTTTTGCATTCTAAATATATTTCTATGTATCTATGTCTAGCCTATATTTTACACTAACGCATTTAGCATGCAATTTAATTATTACCTTTATTTATATTTCTGTATAATAAATTAAGTTGTATTTCACACGTGGTTAGAAAGTCTGCACAGAGGTTTCGAAAGCAACATGTTATGTAGCATTGAAAACTGTGGTCATGCCCATGGAAACAGTTGGATGGAAATCAGTATTGGTGGGCTAGAAAAAACTTAATAAATAAATATGTAAAAATATATTAATTGGTTTGACGACAGATATACACCCTCGGCGTTGTGTAACCATTTATATATGAATATATACGAAACATATGCGAACCAAAACTATGGATTGACCAACATTTGATTTAATCTGGAAATAATAGGAGCAGGAATATGAAATTTGAAGAAAATCTTCTGTTAATGTCATATTTTGTGCTCAATATTATAAAAATGTTTGCCTCCTGTGGGGGAGTTTCAAGAAAGACTGTGCCGATATTGTTCATTGCCTAGGAAGTAAACTGCAACCAACTTCAGACTGCTGTCATTCCTAAGCTACTCGTCCGACAGCTGTTAAAATTATTCCAGTGACAGCTCATTATATTCTTTACAAGCGTACAAAAGCATTTAGGTGAGAATTTTCCAGAAAAAAAGTTATTCGTGATGGAATTCAAGCGTGATACTGTGATTTCTTTATATTTGGTGGACAACAAAAAGTGGCTATCGTTAGAGCACTCCTACATTTAAATGTGAATAAATCATTTGTGTCTCGTACCATCGCTAGTTACCATGATACTAGTAGCGTAGCCCGACGTCAAGGAAGTGGACGGAAGAAACAGCGACATCACCGGAAATTGTTCGAAAAGTGAAGAAGCGACTTGATCGAAACCCGCGACGCAGTGGCCGAAAAATGGCTCGTGAGCTAAACATATCACAATATTCCATTCGCCGAATATTAAAAAATGAGCTCGGGGTAAAGCTATTGAAATTCCAAAAAGTGCAAGAACTTACACCGCAACAGAAAGAAAATAAACTCAAAAGAGCTAAAGAGTTGCTTCTCTTTGCCGAAAGTGTGGAGCTGCCGAATTTGGTTTTTGCGATGAGAAAACATTCCTTGTCCAGCAGTTTCTAAACAACCAAATGATCGTGTTAACTTAACAAAAAGGTCAGCTAAAAATGTGCAAATGTGT